ATGTTATTTTGCTATAGGTGTTGCAAAGGATGTTAACTGTTTTAACTTTTCGCCTTCAGTTAATTTGAGAAAGTTTTGCTTTGTATATTGATGGTGATTATGTAGTATATAGATGGCTCTTACATATTATTTGATCCCTCAGTTTTTAAGTTAGGTGTTATATGGGAAATTTTTCTTGTGTGTTACATATGAGAAGGCTGATTCTAAGACAGTATAAACTGGATGGTTTTTCCAAAGTTTTGAAAAAGTAAGATCAGATCAAGGATGTAAATTCTAGACATTAGGCATATAAAACTAGAATTTATTAAAAGGTACATATTGGGCTGCTTTGGGATTACTACCATTTTAAAAAAAATGCTTTCCTTTTAGTATTATTAAAGGGTTAAGCCTCAGGATTAAAACAGTAACATTAGATAATGAGAAATAAGATGGAGATACTTGTAACTCATTAATGCTTTTATTTTTAAGAGACAGGGTGTGCTTGTCACTCCCAGCTAGAGTGCAGTAGCACGATCATAGCTCACCGCAGCCTCAAACTCCTTGGCTCAAACGATCTCCCACATCAGTCTTCCACGGAGCTAGTATTACCAGAGCTCACCACCACACCATGACTTAATTTGATAAAATATGTGGTTTGTTAGAGAAGAGCCTCATGATGTTGCCCCAGGCTGGGTCTCAAAGTTCTGACCTCGAAGCAATCCTCCTGCCTTAGCCTCCAAAAATGTCAGGATTACAGCCATGGAGCCAGCACACCTAGCCCAGGAAATGTTCTAACAAGTCTTGAAAAATGAAGTTACATCTGTTAAATCTGATCAGTAGATAACAATATACTATGATATGTCAAATGTCACAGATCAGTCATGGTCACTACAACACTGATTAAAACGTAGTTAGAACAGTTCAGGCAAGGTCGAGAACTGAGAGGGAAGTACCAGGATTGCTTTGGGAAGGCCAGACTTGGATTGTCAGAGCTGGGAAAGCAGAAGCAAGGCCGTGAGTGCTGCACAGACTGGGGCACGCAGCAGCTCCGATGGTATGCTGTGTGCCTCTTACATGGGGGCAGCCACCTTCCAGGTCGCAAGCAGATGAGAATCACGCTGATGGGGAAAGAGTGGATTAGGTTAAAAGTTTCAAGACTGGCATCGCAACTGAGAGACTTTATTTGTGTTTTCTGATGGGTCATAACGCTAATCAAAGTGACAACACAGGGAATAATAGAGCAGGTGAGTAAATGCGAGTAAGGCCACCTGCCACCTCTTCTAGGACACTCATCCCATAGGAAATATTGGGCAGAGGATTTGACCAAAGCTTGGTGAGAAGACGCTCTCAGTTCCCAGGGTCAAGGCATTGATCTTAGAACCTCAGGTGTTGAGGGACCGTCGTGTCCCCAAGGAACAATACATTCTGCCCCAGATCTTCAATCGCCTCGCGTTGGGTAACTCTGGGCAAGTCACTCATAAACGGTCTTAAGGTTTTAATTCATTGATTGGAAAATACGGGGTTGTAGCCCCTGCTCTGCGTCCCTCGGGATAATTTGGGTGACAAGGAAATGGCAGACTTTCTTTCACAAGCCGAAACCATCATGCCCATGGAAACAGTGAAGTCACTTTCCACCCTCCCCTGGCCTGGGGAGCATACACGGCTCCCTCTCTGTATGCCTTTACCACTACCAAGTATCTGGACTATTCTCCAGACTTTGGAATGATTGAAAACTTCTGGGCATTTACAAAGCATGAGTCTTCTTAAGCCTCTTTATCTGTGTCTCAATCGTTTTTAGCCCAATAGATCTTAGTAGTCTAACTAGCATAGATCTAGCTTAACAATTCCACACATCTCAGAATAGGGGAACTGAGGCACAGAGGGGTTTCATTTCACTTTCTCCTGTATTATGTGGCAGATGCCAAATAGGGATTTGAACCCAGGGCCATTCTTGGGTGGACTTGGGATCTGCACTGGCTTGTTCTTTGTTGTCCCATCTAATTAAAGGTATATCTGCCTGCACAAAGCAGGTCCATTTTAAGTGCAATGGAACCTTTGCAAAAATCCTCCTAGAGAACCCAAATCTAATTTCGAGGTAGAGTTAAAAAGCAGACGCGGTAAAAACTGGGATCAAAAGTTTCATCTGGGAATAAAGTTTTTACCTAATTTCTCTGCTGTCCTCTGCCAGCAACATTGTCAAGCCACTGTCTTTATTTAATAACATTTCCAAGAATCTATAAGGAAGTTCTGCTCTACCTTGCAAGTTGTCCCGCCCGTCTCCAAAGTGCGTAGGCAACAAAAATTATGGAGATCGGTAACAAAATTTGGCTGTTAGAAAATAAAAAGTAGTGTGGAAATTAAATCACTAAAATCACTAAGCAAATAATTCCTACTTTTAATCAGTGCCCCATATTAGAGAAACTCAGTAACTGCTGTGTCATGTTCTTCATTTATTTCACTTTGTGCCAAATTTATGCATTAATATCAAGGCGGTGATACAGACTACCACCAAAAAAAGTAAAGTAACATTGACAACTTGGAGATTCGAGTTCTTTTTTGTGTGTGTGGAAAAGGTCTCATTTGTCACCCAGGAGTGCAACTGGTGCGCAATCACAGCTCACTGCGATCTTTACCTCCCCAGGTTCAGGTGATCCTTCCACCTCAGCCCTCCCAAAGTAGGTGGCCATAAGGCACATGCACATATAGCAAGTTAATTATTATTATTATTATTATTATATTATTTTTTTTTTTTTATTTTGTAGAGACGGGATTTCACCATTCTACCCAGGCTTGGTTCACTTTTGATAGTAAAGGACATCTCAAATGTTTAGACATTTGCTTTCAGTTTGGTCAATTATGAATACAGCTATTAGAAACCTTCCTGTGTCTTGTTTGGAAACATAATTTTTAAAATGTAACTGAGGAAATACTTAGGATTATGATTACTTGCTTGTATGGTAAGATTACATTTTTCTTTTAAGAATTTTAGTAGAATTTACCAGTGAAATCATCTGAATATAGTGTTTTAGTTTTTTGAAAAGATATTAATCATTGATTGAATATCTAAAATTCTAAAATAAATATAGGCCTATTCAGATGATCTATTTTTCCTGAGAAGACTTTTGGGAGCACAGATGTGTTCAGAATATTCCTTTATTATTTACTAGTTTTTGATTTGACTCCTCTTAAACTGATATTATTAGTATACTGTGACTTCTTTCTTTCCTTTGTGGGTAGCCAAGGTAGAGGTTTATCAATGTTACTGATCTTTTCAAAGAACTGGCTTTTGGTTTTGTTGATTTTCTCTGGATTTCCTCTTTTCTATTCCACTGTATTCTGCAATCATTATTTTTCATCTGTTCTATGTTACACTGCTGTTTTTCTCTCATTGCCCAAGGTGAAGCTTAGATTATGAATTAAGATTTTTCTCAACATTGACACAGCATCCTGAATGTAACTCATTGAATGTAATCTCATTAAAATGCACACTTAATAATTAAAATGATAAATATGTATGCTTTACTACAATTTGAAAAATACAACAGGGTAGATGATAAACGTAGTGGCAGGGTATGTAGATCCACAGAAGTTAAATGATCTTGTAACATTTCATAAAATTGGGGATTTGACTGGACCTTCAAATGGGGAGGAGGTGTGATGAGATGCTGTCGCTGAACCATACAGTGCCTTTCTGTATTAAACTGTTCTTAAAGTGACTATTTCACATTGATGAGGTTGCCCTAGCTAGAAAGCCAAGGCTCTTTCAATTCTTTCTGCCCCTCTCCTTTGCCTGCCTTCGACACCAAGGAGAATGGTCCAGCAGCATCTCAGCCCATGCTTGTCAACCGTCCACCTTCAAACACTCTAGCCCCGGTGCACATCCCCAAAGGCTCCTTGTGGGATTCCTCAGCAGCAGTAATGCACTGACCGTCACTCTATGTTCTCCTAGGTCCTGTTGAAGATCTCTAGGAGTCTACATATGGCGGTGTGGAGAATATATCAGAACTTGTTAACATGTTCTTTCTCTGGAAGAGAATTTTTTTTTCCTGGGGATTCTAGAATATCAAGTGAATATCATGTTTGACTGCCATCATGAATCAGGCCTCAGTTGGTCATGGACTCTAGCGACTGGTCACAGGAGGTTATGACCAATGGAGGCCTGATTTACGATGGCAGTCAAAGGATGGCACCACTTACAAACTGTCTGGTAGTGAGTATGTGTCTCAGTAGCAACCCTCTCTCCTTGAAAAATAATTTTGTATTTGCCAGCCAACATGGACACTTGCTAAATATTCCCAAAAAACCCAATGCATTTTTCACAAGCATCATCTATGCTTTATTTTGGGGGCCAGTGACTTGATCAGTGTGTGACCTCTGGTTTTTTATTTCACCAAGTGAATAAAAGGCCTTTGCCAACAGAACCCAGCATCATCTGATCCTCATGGTGTTTCTTTTTCTTTTTTTTTCTTATTGCAGGAAACATCTACAGCCCAGTACCACCAACATATGCATTTTTTTAAAAAACAGCTTTATTTAGTAGTTGACATGCAAGACAATTCACCCATTTAAAGTAAGTGATTCAGCGTTTTTACTATATTTACAGGGTTTTGCAACCATTGTTACAATCTAATCTTAGAACCTCTTTATTCCCCCTCAAAGAAGCCCCACCAGTAGTCACTCCTCGTTTTTCCCAACTCCCACACCCCTGGGTCTAGGCAGCCATGAATCTACTTCCTGTTTCTATAGTACAGTGGCTTTCTGTATTAAACTGTTCTTAAGGTGACTATTTCACATTGATGAGGTTGCCCTAGGTAGAAAGCCAAGACTCTTTTATTTCTTTCTTCCCCTCTCTTTTGCCTGCCTTCAGCACCAAGGAAAATGGTCCAGCAGCATCTCAGTCCATGCTTGTCAACCTCCCCCCTCCATATACTCCAGCCCTGACCCACAGCCCCCAAGGCTCCTTGCGGGATTCCTCAGCAGCACCAATGCACTGACTGTCACTCTATGTTCTCCTAGGTTCTGATGAAGACCTAGAGCAGGGTTCAGTTAAAAGTCTGGAGGAGATGACATCAGACATTGTAAGATGCATTTTTTTGCATCCCCCAAGGCTCCCAGTGGGATTCCTCAGCAGCACCAATGCACTGACTGTCACTCTCTGTTCTCCTAGATTTTGTAGAAGATCTTGATGAGGGTCCATTTGGTGGTCTGGAGGACAAGATGTCATCCGACATGGTAAGATGCATTTCTTTGTCTGGAAGAGAAATGTTTTTTCTGGGTCCTCTTGTCTTATTAATGAAATGAAGATATAAAAATCTGACCATGTACATTATAGAAGACAAATACAATTTTTTGTTCGGGGGAATATCAAGGGAATATCATACTTGACTGCTGTCGTCCATCAGGTCTTAATGGATCATGGACCCTAGCAACCAGTCACTGGAGTTTATGACCAATTGAGGCCAGTTGGATGATGGTAGTGAAAAATGAGAGCATCACTTACAAACTGGTAGTGAGCATATTTCTCAGTAGCAACCCTTTCTTCTTGAAAAATAATGTTGTATTTACCAGCCAACATGGACTTGCTAAATATTCCATCTCGACCTCCTGACCTCAGGTGATCCATTCACTTCAGCCTCCCAAAATGCTGGGATTACAGGCGTGAGCCACCGCGCCCAACCCACCATAAGTATATTTTTTTTTAAAAACAGCTTTCTTGAGACATAGTTGACATGCAAAACAATTCACCTATTTAATAAGGGTGATTTAGTGCTTTTACAATATTTACAGGATTGTGTAATCATTATTACAATCTAATTTTAGAATGTTTTCATTCCCCCTTCAAAGAAACCCAATAGCCATTAGTAGTCAGTTCTTTCTTTTCCCCAACCCCCACACCCCTGGCCCTAGGCAGCCACTCATCTACTTTATGTTTTTCTAGATTCGCCTACTCTGGCAATTTATTTTAAAATTTAATTTCTACTTTAAGTTCAGAGATACATGTACAGGATGTGCAGGTTTAAAGATATTTTGCTTTCCTGATTTCTTCTCAATTAATTTTGATATGAAAATCTGACAATGCACATTATGTACAACATACACAATTCTCTTTGTGGGAGTAAAATTCAGTGGGAGTGTCTTCCCAACTAATACGTGATACACTGGGAGGTTTTTAAAGGACAGCATCCATTATTGGCTGTAATGCGGAGGCATTTTCTTCAACACGTTTTCCTCCTTGGGTTAAGCATTGTGTGTTTGCCTATTAAATCAGCATTAAAGGTAAATTCTGTGAATAAAGATCTTATTTTTCCACAAGCATCCTCACAGTTTTGGAGGATGTTGACCTATGGCTCAACCACCCTACCGCTTCTGGTTTTCTAACATTGTCAAGGGAATAACAGATCTGTGTGAAGTACACAGCAGAATCTGCTCCTCACAACGTTTTCCTCTGTATGACTGCAGCTAACATCGCATGCAGCAAATGCAGTAAGTACCATGAAGTTACTTCACGAGGAACAAATGTGTTGCTTGAGTGTATAGAAACCTGATTCTGGGATCCTGCTGGGAAGGAGGATTGGGGGTCTCGCGAGAGAAAATGATTTTGCTGGTATAGGACTCTGGCCAGAGAGGCTGTAGGAAGATTTGTCAACGCACAGCAAAGACCAGGGGATCATGTGTGAGGCAGCATGGCTTCAGCTGCAGGAGGAGGAGTGGGTGAGTCACTCTTTCTAATCACTTGTACTGATGTTTTTGCTTCTAAAGACTTGTTTCTGGGGAGCCTCGGCAAAGAGGACGACCCTCCAGGTAGGGAATGATTCCAGGTAGCATCTGATGGGAAAGGGTTCCCAAGGGTCTTCAGGTTATCCCTGCTGCTTGAGGGGCTAAAGGAGGGGATATGAAATCAGAAACAAAATGAAAATATGTGTGAGGTCTGGTTTGCTCTTTTCAAAGTTTCTTGGCACAATGGTAAGAATTGTCTCTAGGGGCTAAAAGGGTGCTGTGTTCATAAGGGTACTTTGCAGTACGCCTGCTCTCCTCTGCCCAGTGAAACATCCAAACCTTTGGTTTGGATTAATCAGCACTCCTTGGGGTTATGCACAAGGGGATGTAGGGCTGGGCACTGAGTATCATCTGTAAAGAAAGGACTCTATGGGACACCGCTCTCTTACAGGCATTTACTTGAACTTAAGAGAAAAAGTTCTTCTGCTGCATGCCAAGGGGAAGCTGGTAATCGCCCTCTGAACTTTGAGGACTTTGATCTTTGGAGGATCCTCATTTTACATAATGAGATATAAAACTAAGTGGGTACGGCACCCTCTATCCAGTCTGGGGCACTTCATTAGACCCAGAACTCTGAGTTTGATGCTGCCTATCATTTACTTTTCCTCATGAGACCCCCTCTGACTACCTAGGCATCTCCAGCACCTTCTTTATTAGAGACCCTCAATCAACATCAAGGTCCAGAAGAAAACATCAGAGAGGGTGAGATAGAGCTCCCCTGTGAAGACATGTTCCCTGAAGACAGACCTGGTTCCTCCCTGAAATTTCTCTGACACCGTTAAGTCTACTTCTTTCTTAAGGTCACTACTCTGATTGCTAATGAATTGTTTAGGCTTCTGCAGAGATCTGGGCTATTATGCATAGAATAAGTTAATATGTATTTCTTTGTGTCTGGCTGTTTTGCTCATGTCATGATTTTGAAATTCATTCAGGTTCTTAAGTGTAACTATAGTTCTTTCATTTCCTTGTTGCATAATATTCCACTGTAGTCAAATATTATAATGTAACCACTCTACTGCTGATGGACATAATTCTTTCCTCCTTCCGATTCTAGGCGCTTCAGGTGGCACAGCTTAAGGTGCAGATCACACCACCCACAACCAGTCCCGAAAATGGCCCAGATATGGTATCAAGAAACCCTGATCAAAAGATATGAATCTCTTAAGGGGGTGTACGCCAAGGTCCTGAGGGACATGCGCTTTGCCAAGAAGCACATGAAGAAGGACCTAAAGAAGGTGCAGACCAACAATCCCAAAGCCATGAGTGCATGTGCCGAGGCTATCGAGGCCTTTGTAAAGCCCAAGGAGGTTAAGTCCAAGATCCCAAAGGGTGTCAGCCGTAAGCTCGACTGACTTGCCTACATTGCCCATCCCAAGCTTGGGAAGTGTGCTCATGCCCGCATTGCTAAGGGGCTCAGGCTGTGCTGGCCAAAGGCCAAGGCCGAGGATCAAACCAAGACCCAGGCTGCAGCTCCAGCTTCAGTTCCAGCTCGGGCTCTCAAAAGTGCCTGAGGACAGAAGGACTGGTGCGACCCCACCCTCGGGCTGCCATCTGCAATGGGACTGGGGTCACCATGTGCTATTTGTACAAATAAACCTGAGGCAGGAAAAAAGAAAAATAATTTCTTTTTTTTAATAATTGTGGCTATGACAAGTAATGGTGCTTTGAGTATTTTTGTCAATGGTTTTGGAATACTACTGACACTCATTTCTTTGAAGTAGATTATTAGAAGGGAACATATCTTTTATTGTCATGAATAATGCCAAATGTTTTTCAAACTCACCATGCCAATTCATGCTCATGTAGTAGCATATATGAGCAGACATTTCTCCAAATCCTTGTGGACTCTTAGTTTTATCTCTCTCTAAAAATTCCATCACTGTGGCTAGTCTTTCATTTGTATAGCATTTTACTTTAAAATTTTAACCAAAAAAATCTGTTTTAATCTAATGATGCAGCGCAGTAAGTTTGTTTACACCAGCCTCACCACAGACATATAAGTAATGTACTGCGCTGATATTACTACAGCCATGAAATTACTAGGCAAAAGGACATTTTCAGCTTTCTTATAATCTTATGGGACTACCGTCATATATGCAGTCTGTC